TCTATGTCTACATTGCTAACTTGGCAAAATACTCAAGGTCCGTGTACCCTATAGCTGAATTATGTTAATTATAATACTAAAATTCATGCCCACAAGTCAAAAAGACCCTACCCAGTTGCAGACCCTTCGCCTGAGCATGTCGAGAAGTTGGCTGGGGTTACGTTACTGGTGCGGAAATTACTAACCATTTCTAATAGAGGGGCTGTGCTTGGAAAGTTAGTGACTGAATTTCTGTGTGTTAATAATGGCATGGAAAGCCCGGTAGTTGTTCTCGACTTGTGGGATCCCACGGAGCACCCGGGCTTGGGCAGCTCCGAAACAGAGAAGCAGTGTGGGTCCGTATCGGCTTGCTGCACACCGGGTAAAGAACGCGGTTTTGTGGGCGACAAGCGGAGATCCGTGAGGGGAACTCCATGGGCGGGTACCGTGAGGGGAGATCCGTGAGGGAGGTCCCATGAGGGTGTACTGTGAGGGGAGATCCGTGAGGGAGGTCCCATGAGGGTGTGCTGTGAGGGGAGATCCGTGAGGGAGGTCCCATGAGGGTGTGCTGTGAGGGGAGATCCGTGAGGGAGGTCCCATGAAGGCGTACTGTGAGGGGCGATCTGTAAAGAGCCCCGTGCGGGCACCGCGGTGGCGCGGAAGCGGGCGGAAGGGGCCGGCGCGGCGGAAGGGGCGGTCTGGGGCGGTGCGGCGGCTGCATGGGGGCCGTGTGGGGCCGGGCGGCGCGGCTCGGGCTCCCGGCGGCGCGGGCGGCGGCGGCCCCGGCGGGCAGCGGCGCTGGGCGGCTCCGCTGGCTGTGCGGACCCGGGTCGGCCCCGCTGGTGCTGCTGGCGGCCGCGCTTCTCCGCGGCCCGGCCCGCCCTCCTCACTTCCTGCGCGCCGGGGCGGGGCGCGCGTCCTGGGGCCGCCGAGCCGAGAGCGGCAGCGGGAGCGGCGCGGCCGCCGCGCATCTGCCCGGGGAGCAGCCGCCAGCCATGCCCGCCGCCGAGCCCGAGCACAGCCCCGCCGAGCCGCAGGCGCCTGCTGCCGCCGAGCCGCTGCACCGCGGCCGCCGCAGGAAGGCCAAGGTGAGAGCACCACGTGCGGCGCGGGGGCGGCCATTTTGTGCGGGCTTCGGGGGGTTTGGTGTCAACTCGGGGCGGGCGGGACCGGGGAGCGGGTTCCTCGGGTAACGGCGGCTTTCCCGCGGCAGGACGAGGCCGCGGAGAGGAAGGTGAAGCGGCGCGGTAAGGCCGAGGGCGAGCAGGCGCAGCCCGAGGAGAGCGGGCTTGGGAATGGTGACCTCGAGCCGCCCCTGCCCAAGAAGACGAAGAAAATCAAGGAGAACAGCAGCGATTTGGTGGGAGAGAGCGACGTCGCACAGCACGCCCTGGAATCTTCCCCCACTGCGAGCGACAGCGGGACAGCCCCGGCTGCCCAGGGCGGGGCCAGCGGAGAGCAGGACAGCGACGCCGAGGTAGGGATGCTCTGGCAGCAGAGCCCTGGTCTTGATTAGTTAGTGTCCTGCTGGTAGTTAGTGGGCTTAATAGCATGTACTGGTCGCTGTGTGGAGACTTGAGCTGCGAGGGCTGTGGGAGCGCGAGGCAGCTGTCCTAGGCAGCTTATTCCCGATGCTGTTCCACGCATCGGGAGTGCCCAGCATCCTGCCCAGCATCCTGCCCAGCATCCTGCCCAGCATCCTGCCCAGCATCCTGCCCAGCATCCTGCCTGTTCCTGCGGGGCTGAGTGAGGCGCGGCAGCACATGCACCTACACGTGGGAACTGGCCGCGTTTGGAGCAGCGTGTCCTGCAGTGCAGGAGGCTGGATAGCAGCGAGCAGTTTCCAGGTGTTCCTCTTCTTCGTGTCGCAGCTTGTTCTTTGTCTCTCAGCATAAAGGTTTCTCCCTTCAGCACGGGCAGTCACCATCCCAGAAGCATGCTTTGTGCTGTGATGGCACTTTTTCTGCTGGCAGGATGTCTGAAGAAGTATTTGGCGAGGTGTCCTGTAGGGGAAGGCGTGGTTATCCTCGTTAATTCCCATTTCATCTGTGGCCTCGCAGATACGTGCAAGGGGGCCCTGCAGGTTGCCTTGCCCTGTGTAGGGCCTTCTGTGGGTAGTTTTGTGTTTCAGGTGGGAACATGAATCAACAGATTTTGTGCTTTTTGTGCATTGGATGTTACAATGGATCTTTGAAGTAAAAGCTAAATTATGAGCTTTAAGTATTTAATGGTGTTTAAAGTTCAAAGCTCTTTGCATGTTATACTGACTAGGTGTCTTTGAAAAGGAAGTTCCTGCTTTGCACACTGAATTGTGACACCAATTATGTTTTGTTGTGGAAAACAGTTTTCTAATGTTTCAGTGGACCCTAAGTTAAGACTTTTAACAAATACTTTGCCTTTCCTGATTTGCTGTGCATATATGCACAGGTACCTGCATCAAAAGGGTTTTCTTTTTCTTTAAACAGGAAGGAGGTAGATGGTGAAATTGTGGTGGTAAAAGCACCTATGTAGTGCCTATGTAGGGAATGTTATGTGTTTATCTCTGAAGGCTAATAGATTTTTTTTTTTTAATCCTGTTAGGAGCTGACAGAAGAAGCAAAGGAAGGCGCCTTCTCTAATTTCCCTCTCTCCCAAAACACTATCAACCTTCTCACAGGTTAGTTAACGGGATAAAAGATGTTTCTGTGAATGTTTGCCCAGAATTGCACTCTGTTACCTGCATAAGTAGAAGCCCAAGGGTAGATTGTTCTAAATCATCTTAAATTTATTATGTGGTAAGAATATGCGTATGAGCAGTCACTGTAGACTGAAAAAATCTACTGTTTTTAGTAGGCAAAAAGTTTCTGTTTTGTTCATTTTGAAGTGCCCTCAGGTGAATTTCTTAATTCTATGCAGTGATTATTCCTTGATCTATATTTTAGAGACAGGGTTTCTTTTCTTGTCAGCATCATTCCACTTACTGTGTATCTTCTCTTCCTCTGTCTGCTCTCTAAAATATTGCTTCTTAAATAAGCTTAATGGAGTTTTGTGTGCGAAGACTATTTGCCTCCTGTGAACGGGTTGTTTGTGATTATTCTCATATTTTTGGGCATTTTCATATCTCTTTTCAATTAGTTTTGTAATTGCTGTAGGGTTCTTGTCCTCTGTGTTGGGAAGCTGTCCAATTCTTGTTCCTCAGACAAAAATTCTCCGTGTTCCTTTACGTTTTCCTTGCTCAAAAGTTTCTCCTGGATATATTGTTTCATTTCCACTGTGCAAAATCTCTCTGAAGTTTTGGAATGTTTTGGAACGAACACCCTCACCTACTCCCCACCTTCAAAACCGAGCTACCACAAAATCTTGGACTGTATCAGACAAAACGTGTTGGGTTTATTTTCCTTTCTCTCCTGTTGTCTTACACCACATATCCCAAAGAAAACTGTATTTCATTGTGGAGACTCAGCTCTGTGTTTTTGGAGTGGAATACCTTTTGATCTAGAGCAGGAATAAAATATAAAGATAAGTGTTTTTTTTCTAAGTTGCGTCTCCTGTTGTGTACAGGATTTGACATGATGTGCCCTATATATTTGGGCTGTTTATGAGGCCTTCTAATTGTTTGTTCAGCTTTTAGTGAAGCCTCTTTCAATTATCTTGCAGCTCGAGGTGTAAAATACTTGTTCCCTGTGCAAGCAAAGACTTTCCAGTCCATATATGATGGCAAAGACGTCATTGCTCAAGCTCGAACGGGAACTGGGAAAACCCTTTCCTTTGCTCTTCCACTGATTGAAAAACTCCAGAGTGTCTCACAGGATGGGAGAAGAGGCCGTGCACCCAAAGTAACTTACCACCTAAGGGTTAACACCAAAACCTGAGGGCGTGGCAGGTTTTGAAAGCAGTTTTACTATTGCTTTGGGGATTTCTGCCTCAGTTCACTGAGGTTGTTTCTCACTATAAATTCCATGGTGATAATGGAAGGCTTTTAGGGTTTCCTCCTCCCTTCCCCCCATGTGTGGAGGCTCAACAGATGCAATTCCAGAGATGGAATTGGTAACCAGGTGCCAGTGATCAGATATCCTATTCCCATGCAAATGCAGTGTATCATTAGACTGCAGAAATGGTAATGGTGTGCAGACTTGTCACCTCTTTCATCCTTCTGTTTTATTAACTTCAAAGGCAGTGTGAATTTTAAATTCTTATTTTCTGAAGGGATTTAAAGAGATAAAATTAGCACTTTATCAGTTCATTCTTAAAATGTTGGGGAGAGGGTAGAAACTTGAGGAAGGCAGGCAGGTAGGGAGGGTGGATATATGGCTAGAGTGCATCATGCGTGTGTCTGTTGAAATCTCAATAGTCCAGATTTAGTAACTGCTCTTACCCCTTAATGCTGAGCTGCACCTTCATTGCCCTTGGTAATGTTATTGAAGTGTCTTATCTGGCTCTAACTTAAGAAAAAAGAGTATTGCTGCTCTCTATATCTCAGTTATTTTGCAATGCTTTGCCTTGTTTCCTCTTATTGCCTCTGAGGCTGTCTTGGCAGGCTCCAGGATGCAGGGAATATTGCTGGGATGGTGGGAAGCTGTGGGCACCTCTGCAACAAGTGTAGAATAAAAGTGGTAGTACAAGCTGTTTGACATGAAGTAAACCCTTTTTTCATCCTGCACCCTCTCCCAAGTACAGCTGCATTTTTGTCTCTTTTTCACTCCCTGCAGGTGCTGGTTCTTGTTCCAACCAGGGAACTGGCTACTCAGGTAGCCAGAGACTTCAAGAATCTCACAAGGAAACTGTCAGTTGCTTGTTTTTATGGAGGAACTCCATATAAAGAACAGCGTGAGTAACCTCTGTGGAATTACTGCTGGATTGGAGTCGACTTTCTCCAAATGGATTCCATGAATAAAACTCTACATTTCCCCCCCTTAGACTTTCACCTGGGAACTCAAGTGGCATTGCTTTCAAAGGAAGCACAAGTGTTACTGTGTACTGCTGACTTTTTACCATGTTGTCTTTTAGCAGTCTGACACTGTCCTTGTTTTCCTGTCTTCCAGTTGATCTCCTTAGAAGTGGCATTGATATTCTAGTGGGAACTCCTGGGCGGATCAAAGACCACGTCCAGAATAGCAAGCTGGAACTTTCCAGCGTGAAGCATGTTGTTTTGGATGAAGTAGATCACATGTTAGACATGGGCTTTGCTGAACAAGTGGAAGAAATCTTAGGATTTGCTTATAAAAAAGGTAAATTCTGAGATCAGGAGAAGGGACAATGTAGAAAACACAGTTATGCTACTTTAAAAAACTGCTGTTGCACCCCCAACTTGAATTCTTTGTGTGATGCTAGTATCAATCCTCAGAAAAGGGCAAGGTAGAATTGGAAAAGGTTCAAAGCAAGGTGACAGATGGCTGAAGTCTTTGCCTTTGCTGTCTAAAGGATACTTAAAATAATTTCCTTGCTTTTAAGTTTTCTTGTTGCTGACTTAGTGCACATAGAAACCTGTCCATTTGAGAGCAACTGTTGCTTTTCTATCAGTTCTCAAGTGTCAGGATCTGTGTCTGAAATCGATGGTCTTTCCTTCCAGGCTCTGAGAACAACCCTCAGACACTGCTGTTTTCTGCGACTTGTCCGCGGTGGGTTTATGATGTAGCAAAAAAGTACATGAGAGATGAGTATGAACAGATTGACCTGATTGGAAAGAAGACCCAAAGGACAGCCACAACTGTGGAGGTGGGTGATTGTGCTGCAGAGCAGTGCAGGTCCTGAGAGCAAGTGGCCTCAATGAAATGGGTTGTGTGTTGACTTTACAAATGCGGGTGTGGAATGACTTTTCACATGATTGACATACAGATTTTTGTAAGCAAAGCTTTCATGTGGGGGCAGTAGTGTTTGCAAGCTTAAAAAATTTTTTTCTTGGTTCCTGTGCCTGACTGAGATTTAACACAGGTGGTGGTCACGTTTCCTTCCCAAACAGCACTTGGCAATCCAATGTCGGTCCTCTCAGAGAGCAGGAGTCCTTGGGGACATCATCCAGGTCTACAGTGGCAGCCGTGGGCGGACCATTGTCTTCTGTGAGACCAAGAAGGAGGCAAATGAGCTGGCCATGAATGCCTCGCTCAAACAGGTACTGAACGGGGAGCAGGGGCTCGGATGTTCAAGGGTCGGATGCCCTGAAATAAATAGGAGGTGGAACTGTGTGGATGAGTTGTTTCCGTGGGTGGCGGTTTTAAGACTTTTAAAGCTGTTTCTAAAGGTAAAGCTTTGTAGTTAAAATATTCTCTTGGCTGTGATTATGAAATTATTCCTTTGGCTTTAAAATCAGGCAGGACACAATCAATAGGAAATGTGCAGTTTATGCAGAATAGGCTGGAGACAGTTGTAATAAACAGAAGCTAGTGTCGTGCACAGATCCCATCCTACGTTAGTGTGCTTTCTGGATTCCCATATCTTAATGGCATTTATTCTTTGAACAGTCATTAGGAAAATCCAGCTAAAATGGTAGAATGGAATGTCTTGTTGCCCTTGGAAGGTCCATCAATAGTTTGTTCAGAACCCAGGTGTTTTGAGCAGGTCTTCTATCCTTGCTTTTTTTTAAGTGTGGGGGAAAGTGCTGCATATTTTTCAGAGAAAATCCCATTAGATGCTAAATACTGATTTATGGAGAAAGAGCAGTGGTGGGAATACATGGTTTACCCAGTATTAGAGAAATGTCACATACCATCCACATTAAAAACTTGCAGCAACAATTTTTGACTGTTGGCCCTGCTGCTTTCACAGTAAATCCAATCACTTTGTTCTTGGGTCAATCTGTGACATGTTTTTTCTTACGCTGGTGAGTTTTGCTTTATCATGCTACTCATTTGAATTCTGAGCTTGTTGCTTTTCCCTTTCTCCTTGTCAAACTTCAGTCTGTTTCCTCTGCCATTAAAAGTGGAGGCTGTTCAGATCACCTGTAGAGTTTGGGAATGCCCTGAAAAGTTCACTTAAGCTTCTGTGGGTTTTTGAGATGGCTTCCCAGAGAAGGGATGTCATGAATGTGTGTTTTAGGTGGCTTGAAGCATCACTGGCAAAAGCAGGTTTGATGTTAAAGTGTGACAAAGTCCTTTGGCTTAATAGGGTTCACTCTACAACCTAGTGGATGGTTAAAGCACACAGAGAAAAATAGGACTAAAATCAATCAATCTGAAATGAAGAGAAACTAAAACTAAAAATGATCTGTGTGGACGCTGGGGGTGAAAAAAAGGGTAAGGATAAAAAGGATTAAGAGAGACACTCCCCGAGTCACAAGGTTCAGAGTGGACCCCTTTGCCAAACAGCCCCGGAGGTGACCAGTGGTTTAGACCTAAAGGTTTTAACAGCACTTAAACAATAGCTTAATTTAAACAGTTTAACAAAAGATTCACACAGGGTTTATTACAGCCCAACAGTAACTCACTCATAGGCCTAACTTGCTTATGAATTGAACGTGCTTAAGGAGTTCCCCCCGAATTCAGTGGAGCAGGTCCAATGCCTTTGCGTCTTCTCAACATGTGAGGGGCTGGGCCTCGAGGGCGTCAGCACAGGACCCAGCATTTGGTGCTGCTCCTCCAAGAATAGCAAACTTGGGGGTCACAAGAGAGCTGGGTTTAGTCGTAGTTCTTTTCCATCCTGGCTGCAATTCAGGTCAGTAATAACAAAAATGTCGTTCCACTTGAGTTGTGTTGCAGGCAAGAAAAATAAAGTTTCCAAGGCTGTTCATTACCAAGCAGGAGCTCATTAGGCAGTACAAGTTCCTGGGAGCTGAGACAGTGTGTCTGATGAGCTCTGGAGGAGCTCAGTCCAGGTGCTGTTCCTCAAGGCTGAGGCCTAATTAGCATCTCTGCGGTCACAGTGCTGCCTGAGGAGGGAGCACCACCACAAGAGAGAGAAGTCTCTTGCTACCTCTTGACAAGCATTGCTTTAGTAACATTGCTTCCAATTGTTCCCGTGGAAGTAGAAGCTGAGGTTGGCCCCCTTGGCACGTCATAGTGAAAAATTAGGAGTGTTATTGTTCCAGAGAAAGATCAAGCCACAAAGTAAGATTTTTTGGTATCAGCTCTGTAATTATGTTCTGTTGCTCTACACAGTGTTTTGGGGTTTGTAATTAAATGTCTGTAGATAATATGGCCTAAACTCCCCCTCTAAATGCTTTGTGAATGGTTTGTTACACTGACAGGATGCCCAGTCCTTGCATGGAGACATTCCACAGCAACAGAGAGAAGTTACATTAAAAGGCTTCAGAACTGGTGTGTTTGAAGTTCTGATTGCAACAAATGTAGCTGCCCGTGGTTTGGATATTCCTGAGGTTGACCTTGTTATACAGTGCTCACCACCAAAAGTAAGTCATTAGGGGAAATTAAAATTGTTGGGGTTTTTTTGTGGTGCCAGAGTGGTGGGTTATTTTTCTGTTTCACCAGAAGTATGTTCCAGTTCACAAATGAAGTGGGTTTTTCTGTAAATGCCAGACCTAAAATTTCCTTGTTAAACTTTGTGATTTTGAGCTTTGATTAAAGTAAAAGTGTTGGGTGTTGTTTACTCTGGAAAGCTGTAAGATAGGTTTTGACATTGTTTCAGCTTTTCTGAATGCCTTCTGAGCGTGGTGTAGTTTCATTACAATTATAAAATACTCCTGCTGTCTTTTTCTTCTTCTGAAACTCCAATGGAGCTTTTTATTTAAATAAAATAAAAATGTTTAACAAGCTAGTGTTTGTTAAAGCTGAGCAGCGTACTTGGGTGGGGCATTGTACCCAAACCTAGTTGGTTTATGTGTAGTTACAAGTTTGGGTATAAACAAAATGTATCACTCCGTAGGCTTCTGAATTAGAATTTAGCTTGCATTTAATCTGAAATGTCGACAGTTGAGTGACATTAGCTTTTCTCCTGTTGATCTGAATTTCTGAAGGATGTTGATTCCTACATCCACCGTTCCGGGCGGACGGGCCGCGCTGGCCGGACCGGCATCTGCATTTGTTTGTTTCAGAGAAGAGAAGAAGATCTTCTGAAACAAGTCGAGCACAAAGCGGTGAGTTCTGCCTCAAACCTCTGCTTAATGAAATTTTTCAGCTCCTACAAGGTCCTGGCCACTCTTAGACTCTGTAGCCGTGGGCTGCTTGTGAGTCCAGTATGGCACTCATGTCCCATGGGCTGGTAGGCCTCAAATGTTGCTGTTTGGTGTTTGTAAATGCTTTTATATCAACCTGTTCTTGTGTCTCAGGAGTTTTCACATGTTGGCAGTCCTCTGTGGATGTCATCAGGCAGGCTGGGAATGCATGAGGGAGGAGACCATGCCTTGCATTGCAGTTTGCATGTACACTGGAGTAAAGTAGCTCCAGATAAACAAAGCCAGGAACTTAAAAGCTTTATTTTAGCTTTAGAAATAACTTAAATAGAGAGTATATTGATCTCCTAGACAGTAAGTAGAGGTCTCAGTAATGTGACTTGGGTAGGATTGAATTGTAGAGTGCTGAAAATACCTTTAACTGTAATTTGTTTTCTTGATTTCAGGGGATTACATTTAAGCGTGTGGGCGTTCCCTCTGCTACAGATGTAATTAAAGCTTCAAGTAATGATGCCAAAAAGTAAGTTCATTTGCCTGTTCTTAGAAAAGGTCTAAAGATGTTCCTCTAGATACTGTTAATGCAAAGCCTTAAGGGATCAGAGCTGTATGTGGGCATACACATACAGGCTTCGCCTGTAAGTCAACTGCTTTGTGAGTAGACATCCTAAGATGGTCTCAGTAAACCTCTGTGTGCTGAACACAGACCTCTTCATAGAACATAATGTTCTCTAAGTTCTTGCAAAAATTAACCTTTGTTTGTATCATCAGAAACCAGTAATAGATCAGGGATTTACTGTCATGAGGGGGAAACTGATTTTGTCTGCTCAGATGATGCAGTAGCAGTGTGTTAAGAGCAATACCTGGTATGATGAGGAGTTACTCTGCAGTAGTGAGGGTGTCTTAGCCCTGTCCTGTTGTTTTATTTGTGTTGTTTTATTCCCAGGGGTTGTGTTTTTTATATTCCACGCATTTCTGTTTATATTTGCTAGCCCATTGGTCAAAATTACATTGAAGCAGATTAAAATAATTAGTGAGGATTTGACCTGTGCAAAGCAGATGATGGGCATGGTGTTGGGTGCACTGTACTGAGAAAGGGTGGGAGGTGCCAGGGTACCCAAAGGAGCGTTACAGAAGTAGCCGTTCTTAGTTCCCATTTTTTTTTTTGCTTGCCTTTCCCAGAAATAAGCAGTTTAGGCGATGCCTTAAACACGACTGCACTTCACACTGGCCTTTTCTGATCTCTTCAACTTCTGTTGTCACCATTGTAGGTTGCTGGAGGGCGTTCCTGCTTCTGCAGTTGACTACTTCAGAAAATCTGCTGAAGAGCTCATAGAGGAGAAGGGGGCAGTGGCTGCCCTGGCTGCAGCCCTGGCCCATATTTCAGGGGCAGCTTACATCCAGCAGCGCTCCTTGCTCAACTCCACGGCCGTGAGTGACTGTGCCCTGTGGTTAACGGGAATGGATGTGTGAACTGCTTGTGTCCAGTCCATGTGTGGCACCTTCTTCCCAGGCGTTTTCAGTGGGGTTTCTGAAGAGCTGGCACCCCCAAACTTCTGATTTTTTTTGCTTGTTACTTAATTGAAATCAGCTCTTACTGGGAGAAACTTGTAATCTGTAAATTTCCTTGTGATGAGAGTTAAAAGAATTTCTCCAGAGGCTGACGTGGCAGAAGACTGATGCTCTAAGAGAGTTTAACTAATGACATTTTACAAGCAAACAAATTGGTTTGTGCTGTTGTAGTTTTCCCTTATCAGGAATCTTTTTACATTTTTGTAGTATTTCAAGTGTAGCATGTGATTACCTGATCTCAAAGACATCTTTAACCGAAGAAAAGTACAGCCCTTCCTTTTTCTAAGGCATTGAGGGAGAACGTTGCCCACTTCGTTGTGTGGTAACACAGTTCTGGACATAATGTGGTTCTCATATCAGTTTGGGGGTTTTTTACTTGTTTTCTAGCAGTAAGTTTATGTATTGAATAAATGTATCTCTTCTTCTGACTAAAATGCAGAAATGCTATTAGCCTTCATATCAATGGGCAATCCTAGGTTAGATGGATGCCTTCAGCTTCTTAGGAGGCTTTTGGTTGCTTCACTTTTGGGGAGCTGATTGCTTAGGATAAAATACTGCATAACACATTATTATGTAGTTCGTTAGTGATTTGCAGGCTATTTGACCGTGTTTAATCTTGTGAAACATTTTTCTGTGTCTCCTGCAGGGCTTTGTGACCATGGTGTTGAAGTGTTCCATAGAGATGCACAGCATGGGCTATGCCTGGCGGGGGCTCAAAGAACAGCTTGGGGAGGAAGTGGATGACAAAGTGTCTGCAATGCGTTTCCTCAAGGGGAAGATGGTGAGATGGCCCAGCCTTGGGAAGTAGGGGTGTGGAGTGGTGTGTTTGTGTGTGTGTGTGTGTTTGTGTGTGTGTGTGTTTGTGTGTGTGTGTGTTTGTGTGTGTTTGTGTGTGTGTGTGTGTTTGTGTGTGTGTGTGTGTTTG